CGTAACATTAATAAACAATGAATAAAAAACTTGTACACTTACTCGTCAAAAAATATAGAAGAGACATGAAAATTGCACTAAGTTAAAAAAGACAGCAACAGACCTGTCCCAAGTCACCACCATAGCTTGTAGCTAGGATAATTGAAAATAAAAGAACCACACCGAACATGTGGTTGAATTTTAATAAATGAAGTGGGAGTTCATCCAAAAAAGTAAAACTGAACAATTCAAACCATTCAAAGGAAAAGATACTACTGGTCTTCAACATGAAGACAGCCAGATTTTTCCATTTGCTACCGTGAGGCGGAGGCAAGTTGGGGCACAAAAAATAGTAGGTAGGTACACGATATTTTTGAGAACGTGACCATCTTGATAGTTTCCAAAAAAGACTAAGTGACATTTGACAATGAAGTTGTCAAGAAAATTGCCAATTTGAGAAATTGAAATGAATTTCGTGAAAAATTGTCAAAAGTTGATATTGAAAATGATAAAAGTGGGTTGGTACCACTCATCTAGCAAGATCAAGTTATGGCGGGACTTTTAAATTTTAAACAGCAAAAGATTATAATAATTAAATAGAATTATAAAATAACAGTGAATGAAGGTGAAAAACATATTTTTTGTAAAAATTATTAGAAATTAAAAGGTGTCAGACTGAAAACAACAGAATTGAGCATGCCGACCCCAGCGAAACCAAAGTCGCAGACAGACCAGCTTTTCCAGCTAAAAGGGGAGGAAGAACCGTCCTGCTCACGAAATCAGCAATCGCCGGAGAAGACAAGATCAACTCCGCTGCAAAAAGATTCAAGGTCTTCGAGCAGATTTATTTTAAAGTTGCAATTAAAAATATTATGAAGAACAGTGACATTCACAGAAGGAGTGAAATTATGATTAATGAATTAAATATGATGTCCAAAAGTAGACTTATCTGGATATCTGATGTGTTCACCAGCTCGTATGTGGAGTCTCCTCTCAGTTTTTCCTATATAAGTCGTTACAGCCTAATCTATAGATACCACTTTTGTGTAGCAACTCTATTGCATCCTTAGTATGTGATAGTTGGCTTTTGATCGAACTAACATTTTTAAAGGCAATTTTAATATTGTTGCAATCCTTAAAAACTGCAGCGACATCATTGGAAATTTTCCCAAGATAAGGTTGTGAAAAGTATTTAAAATTTGCAGGAGGATCGTTAGTAGGATTAAAAGCAAGTTGGGACCTTTTCTTTAGTTTGTCCTTATTAATAACCACGTTAATAATGGAAGGATTGTAGTTGTTATTAAAGGCTAATTGTTTTAAAACGTTGATTTCTTTATTAAAATTATGATTAGATAAAGGTATATTGAGGAGACGGTGAACAGTAAATGGCTGATAACTTGTATTGATAAGAGTGATTAGAGTGAAAAATAATTAAATGAAATGCAAGAACTAAAGTGTTACCGCTTACGTTAACAGTAGAATTGTATTCATACATACCAGCGAAGATCATGGTGTCCACCAATACCCTAGAACGGGGATCACTATAATTGTTTGATTTGTAGTAATTATCAATAGTATCTTTAAACCACTTTATTTGTAGTAAATTAAAATCGCCTCAAATGATATAGTTATCATTTATGTTATTTAAAAAGATATAAAGAAATTTAATGCAAAATAAATTTAGTGCCACCCTGTCTCTGGGAGGTATGTAAACACAACAAATTTGAACCCAGTGGCGGCTCGTGGGGTGGTTCACAGTGACAGAATATAGGTATCAGTACAGATATATGAAAAAACTTTCCGTGATTTAGAAAGTTTATAATATACCTTTCTAAAACACTGACAGTTTTTACCTATATCTGTACCGGGAGCTATATTCTGCTACTGTGAACCCCCAAAATTTTGATCACGAGCGGTTCCTATTCACGAGTCCTCAGAGAACTAAAAATGTTATTTGACACTGCTATTAAACACCTCCACCACACAATTTGTTTGAAGAGCTTGATTCCCTATCGCGACAATATATTTTGTATGATGTAGAAATTTCTTCATTTGATATTGATGATGAAAGCCAAGTTTCCGTTAAACAAATTATATCACTTTCGGAATTTAATAGATTTTGATTCAGCATATTAATTTTTGTATTGAGACCTCTAACATTTTGGTAAAAAATTGAAATTAATGATTCGTTGTCTTTATCCATAGCGAAAAATAGAAAAAAAATGTTAATTCTGTTAAGGGTTTTATTAGCACCTATTAAATTAACTTACCAATATCCATATCTGTAGATATCTTATATTGGCTGTGTCGTTTTTGCGAACAAAAATATTGCAGTTTTGTCGTTCAAACGTATTTGGACGATGTTATGCAACAACCGTCTAACCCACACTTTTTTAAAATAACATTTTATTATCGAAAAACTTGTAATATGAGTCAAATGATGATAAGCAAAAATGGTTTAACCGATATTTGATTTCTAGCGTCATCTGTGAGTTAATTTACTAAGTCACAATTTCGAAATGCTATGCTATAGAAATATGTAACCGTGGTCTATCCCACAAATTCCCAGTTTTGTGGGATAGGTCATTTTAAAAAATCTCTCACTGTGGATGATTGCTCGTTTTAATTAAAACACAATTTTTACGTAATAACAATTCAAATCAAGACAGTAAGTTAATTAAAACTATAAAGGATAAAGTAAAACAGGATAATATCATTTTCACTCGTGCTGATAAGGGAAATACAGTAATTGACATTAATAATATAGATTATATTGACAAAACTCTTTCATTTTTACAAGCAAGCAATAATTATAGCATACTCAAATTTGATCCAACAGATAAATATCAAAAAGAACTAAAACGTAATATTCAGGATTCAACAGCAATTTTTGATTCTAGAGAAAAATTCAAACTAATACAAATGAACCCTCAACCACCACAACTTTATTCTTTAATAAAATTACAGAAAGAGAACTATCCTATTAGACCAGTTGTATCATTTGTCACGGCTCCATCAGTTAAACTTTCACATACATTAATTAAACTTATACAAGAAAAGTGCAAATTCCATTCAAAGTATAGTATAAAAAATTCTTATGAATTAACAGAAAAATTAAAAAACATTAAATTACCTAGTAACACAAAATTAGTATCGTTCGATGTAACAAACTTATTTCCTAGTATACCTCCTAAAGAAACAGTTAAGCTAGTAGAAAACTTATTAGATCGTAATTAAGTCAATATTATAATCAAAGAAGAAACCCTAAATTTGTTAAACATTTGCCTAAAACAAAATTATTTTCAATTTCAAAATAACATCTACTCAGCAAATGAAAGTCTTATTATGGGGAACCCATTAAGCCCGTTGCTTGCGGAAATATTTATGGATAATATAGAACATAAAATTCATAGCAATAATTTAAGTAAACATTGTCTTTATTGGCATAGATATGTTGACGATATACTGACTGCTTTTACTGGTACTAGTAGACAGTTAAATTCTTTATTAGTTTTTATCAATACTATACACCCTAATATTAAATTTACTATGGAAACAGAAGGATAATTCAATTAATTTTTTAGACTTAAATATTATTAAAATTAATAAAGGCCATAGTTTTGGGATATTTCATAAGCCATCACATACTGATATTACAATAAATAATAGTTCATCTCATCCATACAAACAAAAGCTGGCAGCATACAACAGTATAATCTATAGATTAGTTAATATCCCCCTTACCAAAGAAAACTTCACAAAAGAATTAAATATCATTAAACAAATCGCAGTAAACAAGAATTTTAATTCAAAGTTAGTAGACAACATTTTAGAGAAAAAACTTTTTAAACATGCTATTCAACAAGTTTATCCCATAATTAAAGATCAAAATTGCAGATATAAGAGTCTTACATATATAGGAGCTCCTAGTGAAAAGGTATCATCATATTTAAAAAACCAAAATATTAACGTAGCTTTTAAAACCAATAATACGCTTGGGAAGTATATTAAAAACAATAAGGGTAAAATTAATCCTAATAATAAATCGGGGGTATATAAATTAAATTGTGGTAGTTGTCCAAAACTGTATATTGGTCAAACAGGCCGTACTTTCAAAAAGCGCTATTCCGAACATTTTAATAGCTATACAAAAAACAAAAATAATTCTACTTACTCAAATCATATTTTAGCTGAAAATCATTCTTTTACAGACAACTTTGAAATTTTACATATAGAAAATAAGGGCAATAAACTAAACCATTTACAAACACTTGAAATAAATAGATTTAAAAATTCAGATAACATACTCAATGATCAATTAGATATTAACAACTCACCCTTATTAAATCTCTTTCCTAGTTTTCTGTGAGATAATCCCGGTAATGTTACTATCTTATTGTTATCTAATCGATATCATAATTACCTAAGTACCCTTATTTACTTTAAATAGTTAGGTTATTTTGTTATGTTATTGATGTTTTCTTAAGTACTTTGTTTTGTTAAATTATTTCGCATGTATATTGGATACCGAATTGTAAATTAGTCACATTTGAAAAAGAAGTTGTACTTCGAAACATGTCATGTGTAGTGTTTTTAATTTTTATCTTTTATTTTTTAAAATAAAAGTTTTGTGAAAATCTACCAAATTTGGTTTTACTCATTCAAGATAAAATGGATTTTCATCAAGTAAAGGTCGAAACAATAAATAATATAAACCAAAAACGTTTAATTCCGCATATTTCTGTAAGTGTTCGAAAAAATATACGCATATTGTTCCATTAGAAACAAGAAAAAGGTTATTTGATCCATTTTGGAAAGTTGGAAGCTTTGAAGGACGATGTGTTTTAATAACCAAATGCGTTAAAGAAATCAAGAAGAAGAGAACTACGGGCTCTAATGAATTCTGATATTACTGCGTCACAGGAAGATGAAATAGTGGAAACTTTAACGTTCGATTTACAGAAAACTCATTTTATTCCTAAACTACCAACTGGGATCGTTTATTATAAGCGACAATTGACAACTTGGGCATTTTTGTTGGATGCTCCAAAAACGGTATTTTTAATATCTGGTTGGAACATGAAGCAGGCAGAAGTACCCAGGAGGTCGGTTCTTGTTTGCGTAAATTTATTAATGAAAATGTTAAAGTACCTGTTAAAAAATTTAATCTGTAGTCGGATTTTTGTGGTAGACAAAACCGCAGTATCAAATTGGTTTTGATGCTTATCCACGTTTTACAAAATCACACATCGCTAGAAACAATTTCATTGAAGTTTTTGCTTTCCGGTCATAGTTTCTTACCCAACGACTCACATTTTAGAGACGTAGAATGTTCTCTAAAAACTCATCAAAGACTGTACACTCTTGACGACTACACAGATATTATGAAGACTTGTCGTAGAAAAAATAAGTTCATTGTTAATCGTATAAAACCGCAGAACATGGTATCAGTAGTAAACCTCGAAAAGAAACAAATAAATTGGCTTAACTTGCACGAAATCACCTTAAAAAAGAAAATCCTACTCTGTTATTTATGAAAACCTGTACATCAGACTCGGTATATACAGAAGTTAATATTGAAAAAGAAGGAAAAGGCCGAAAACCAGTTTTAAAAGAGGTAGATCTTCCTCCTCTGTGGCCACTAGGCAAAGCGTTGTCTGTGGAAAAAATTAAGGATCTGAAAGAAATTCTTAAGCTGGTAAGGGTAAGATTTTAGTGAAGACATTGAAGGAATTGGTGCCGATGTAGATTTTGAAATAAGTAATTTGCAAGAGACTTAGATAAAAAAAATATAATATGTAAACGTTGTATATTGCAGCAGAGGTGCAATCCTATTTTTATTTTTATTGCTTATTGCAAAACTAACAACTGTTTATATTAAGTTTTTCATAAACCGTCTAACCTTCTTTGACATTGTTTTTTCTGTCAAAAACTACTTTTTGTTTTATTGGTTTATAAATTTAGTTTTTGTGTTTGTTTCTATAAGGATAAAAACAAAAATAGAAGGTATTTCTTGCCAATTGTTTAATATTAAATGCTAAATTATCTCATTAAAATAAAAATGTGTATCTAAATAACACCGAAAAAATTAAAGGGGTGATTCTGTGATGAAAATTAATGTGAGTGTTTGGTATAAAATTTTTTGAAAAAACCCTCCCCGGAAAAGTTACACCCCTTCGAAAATTAAAAAAAATGGTTTTTCTTTTTTATTTTCTCTGTATATCAAGCTAAAGACACGAAACTTGGTAAACATTATCTGTCAATAAAAGTACACTTTTTTAAATTTTTTTAACCCTGAAGTATGCTTAGAAGGGGTTGAAATAATCAACCCCTAAGATATTTTTTCTTACAACTTTTTTTTAGATGAAAATTTTTTCTTTAAAAAAGTATGACTGATAAGCCCAATTCATTGACTAACTTTTTTATCTCCGCAAGCTTTTTTCGAAAACTTAAGCATTTATGAGAAAAAAATAAATAAGCTCATGTAAAATAGCATTTTATTAAACAACAGCCAACCAAATTATGAATCTTAAGACTTCTACAACTAAAAACAAAAATGAACAAACAATGAACAAAAACCTGTCGAATATCGACAATATAATTATAATAAATGTTGAAAATTACCGCCTTCAGCTTAAACATAAACATCTACCCTTTTCCTCATAGAATTGCGTATACGATAAAATATTCCTGGAGAATTTCTTATAGTTTCACATCCTGCTACAATGCGGTTTCGCAGATCATCGATATTTTCAACTGGGTTTGTGTATATCAAAGATTTCAGATATCCCCATATGCAAAAATCCAAAGGATTAAGGTCAGGGGAGCGGGCTGGCAGTTTACAGGTCCTCCTCGACCTATCCATTGATTGGCATACACCTCATCCAGGTGAGTTCTTGCACGTATACTAAAATGAGCTGGTGACCATCGTGCATAAACCATAAATGTTGCCTAATTTGAATGGGAACCTCTTCAAGAAAAACAGGTAATTTTTCAAGGAGATGACAATATGCTTCACAATTTAATCGTAGCAGAAGAAAATGGGGACCAATTCCGAGCCACACGTTTAATGAAAATTGATACTGATGATTTCCTTCAAAAAAGCCATGAGGATTTTCGTCAGCCCAAAGGTGATTGTTGTGAAAATTTCTAATACAGTCTCTTGAGAAACTCGCCTCGTCAGTAAATAAAATATTACCTAAGAACTGTGGTGCTTGGCCAATCATATTAATAAGCCACTGACAAAAAATCACACGTGGTAAAAAATCTCGAATCATTAACGCCTGCACCCGTTGAAGATGATAGGGATACAACATTTGTTCTTTTAAAATTCTAAAAACAACGGATTGGCTTACATGTAGGACACGAGCTATTCTCCTGGTACTCGTTTCTGGGAATTTTTCAATTGAATTAAGTACGGCTTCTTCTACAGATGCAGTTCTAACTTCTCTAGTACGACCAGAATCATAACTCCTTTTTTCAATATTACCACGTTCCCGCAAGCGTCGGTGAATAGTTGTGAACGTAGTATGATGGGGTAGTCTTTGCGCTTCCAATGAATTACCGTTAGCACGACCGTATGTAAAATGCATATCTGCCATTTCCAAATTCGAATATGCATTCATATTTTCAATCAACTAATATTTCCTACAATACACAATCATAAAACTTGTGAAACAATAAGATGGGTAACAGAAAATGACACTACACAATCCTGGTATCAGTATTAATGTTTTTATGCAAAGCACAGGCCACTAGACTTGACGCAAAATACACTCGCGTTAGCTAATCTTTTTGAAAATGCATTGCATTAGATTTTTTTTCTCGTAAATGCTCAAGTTTTAGAAAAAACTTGTAGAGTTAAAAAAGTTAGTCAATGAATTGGGATTTTCAGTCATACTTTTTAAAGAAAAAATTTTTATCTAAAAAAAAGTTGTAAGAAAAAATATCTTAGGGGTTGATTATTTCAACCCCTTCTAAGCATACTTCAAGGTTGAAAAAATTTCAGAAAGTGTACTTTTATTGACAGATAATGTTTACCAAGTTTCGTGTCCTTAGCTTGATATACAGGGAAAATAAAAAAGAAAAACCATTATTTTTTTTAATTTTCGAAGGGGTGTAACTTTTCCGGGGAGGGTTTTTTTAAAAAAATTTATACCAAACACTCACATTAATTTTCATCACAGAATCACCCCTTTAATTTTTTCGGTGTTATTTAGATATGGAACTTTATTTATATAATTCTGTAAAATAAATATTGATCCTTAAATTATTAAATTCAAAAACTACTCATACTTTATTTTTTCGCAATGCCTTCATTTGAAAATCAATTTCTGTCAGTGTGCAAAATATACAACATATCTTTTTATATATCATCCCGTCAGATATACTCAGAAAGCCAACTAAAAACTTTTTGACGGATGTGTTTTAAAGTGTCGGCCGAAGTGGCATCATAAGTTGCGGGGTCGAATATTACAGCGAGATCCTCTGGGGTGATATCAATAAGTCCGCCAGAAATGGATTTTTCATCCTTATAGACAAATGGCCTTCGGACTTGTTGCCCCTAAGGACGATTTATATACGCAAAGGTAACATTCGGAGTTAGGTCATTATTTCTGGAATATGGTTCGACGAACAATGTACTTTATGTTTGATTGCATCTCTCCGAAGTTGCTAGAACAACACTCTGAAGAGATCGATTGGGGAGGAATGTTTATGGGTATTGGGATTAAGGAAGCGAAAAAGAATTGTATGTTTAGAGACACTAGTTAGGAGTTGAAAGACAATAAATAATAATAATAATATTTATTGACCTTTGAAGCCATATGAATAAGGTAAGTCATACATAGATAAATAAATATGGGTCATTACATGTCAAATCGCAAATGGCCGCCGTCAGAATTGGCTCAATGCTTTTGCGACGTACAAAAATTCGTATTAAAGATCTTTTAACGTAGAATCGAATGTCGTGTGCTGTTTTTGGTGATCATTGATTCTTTGACAGTAATACTGTCAAATCTGACCTCGCTGATATGAAATTTTATTGATATTCGAGTGGCGCGGAGAATTTAATTAGCGGATTATAATAAAATAAGTACTAAGAGGTTATCGGGGTCGCTGATCACGAATCCGAGGTCAGATTCGTGAAATTCGTAGATGGCGCCACATTTTGGCGCATGTGCAGCAAGCAACTGATTGAGAATTGGCTGGATTAGCTTGAAACTTAGTACTCGGGGATTTTGGGGATCGCTGATTACGAATCCAAGGTCAGATTTTTAAAATTCGTAGACGGCGCCACTATATGACGCAATGTGCAGCAAGAAACTGATTGAGAATTGGCTGGTACCCTGAATCTTGGTACTCGGAGGTTTTGGGGGTCACTGATCACGAATCCGAGGTCAGATTTTCAAAACTCGTAGATGGCGCCACTATAGGACGCAATGTGCAATAGGAAACTGATTGAGAATTGGCTGGTTACCCTGAAACTTGGTACTCAGGGGTTTTGGGGTTCGCTGATCACGAAACCGGTATCTGAATATAGTATTGTTAAGATGATTATTCGGCTTGGAATACCCCTATTGAAAAAAATAAAGATCATTTAATATTTCTGCAGAAATATTACTGAGATTTGATGTATTTGGAATTTCACTACTAATGATACTATTATCAATTCCGGAAACCTTGGTTCTAGTTTATTTACGTTCTACCTCAAACATTTGTAACAAATCATACTACCGACTGGAAAATCCGGGAAGGTGATTTTTTGAGGAGATGAAAATTTTTCTAAATTTTTGCCTACATGACCCTCCCTATTGTAAGGATTAGCACATCTATCTTTTCTTAAAAATCGACTGCGGTTCATGTTGGTGTTTACGTACTCGTAACGAAATCTGTCATAAATTTAGGGCAGCGCGTGGCCGAACAATAGATTCGATGCCTAGTACAAAATCTTAGGTCCGTATTTATAAACAAAACTCAGCTGAGTCGGATTTGGATAAGTCATCCTTGAACTAAAATCAAAGTTCGGTTATATCGGGTAAATTTAGAGATGGGTAGTAACAAATCCGAAAATGTACATAACAGTTACATATTTGCTAATATCCATCTCTAAATTCCAGTCTAACACCAGAACCACCTAGAACTTTAGAGACGTTGTAACTGAACTTCGATTTTAGTTCAAGGACGACTTACCCAAGTCCGACTTAGGTAAGTTCTGTTTATAAATACGGACCTTACTTATACTCGATATCCGCTACCTCATTTACAAGAATCGCGATACGCGACTGTGGTTACCTATTGACGAGTGAATAAATGATAACTGCGGTAACTTCAAAATATTATTTTGAACACAGATACCGTCAGCAAGGTTGGCTCCGCTAAGTGAGGATCACGAATCCGTTATCAAAATGTTGCAAATCCAAGATGGCGACACGTTACTGCACTGAAAATTGATATAATTTAGACTATTTAGATTGAAAATCCTTACTTGGGGTTTTCACGGTACTTTTTCTAGTTGAAATACTTCAAACTAACACATCTTCTGCTAACCCAAACTAACCTAACCCAACGAAAATGGGTTGGTTTGGAATAGGTTGGCTTAGGTTCGGTCAGACTGGATGAGGTAAGATTAGGTTTGATTGTGTTGGATTGCATTGGGTTAGAATAAATTGTGTCAGTTTTAAATACTTTCGGTACTTTAAACCGATAAAGTACCGCCAAACCACCCGAGTAGGGATTTTCAGACGGAATAGTAATAGTTATATCACTTTTTTTCATGCGTATGCGCCATGGGGGGGGGGGGGGGCGCCATCTATGAATTTTGAAAATCTGACCTCGGAT